TATACCCGTGTGTCCTGCACCACGCTCTGTTCGCTCTGCTCGCTCTGTTGCTGTGCCCCCAGGGCCGACAGAGCCTGTCACGTGACGGTCCGCAGCCAATCCTGGTTCGCCCTGTGTTCCCTCCAGGTGTCCAATGAACGTAGCGAGTCTCTGCTTGGCGACTCGTGGCCGGTCTCCTGCGAGGCCGTGTGTAACAGTAGACTTCCTCACTTCTAGTCTATCTAAAGCACTAGAGCGCAGCGCCAGTATCAGTGCCATCCAGCAACGGGCAGCGGTAGGCACACTAAGCACCACCTCTATTACAGTTGTATCGACCTATTGCTATAGCCTTGCTAGTTCAGCCTCGCGCAACTACAAGATGTATTCGCCGCAAATACCGCGCTCTGATTAGCTGCGTGGAATTACAGCGCATTACTACAGTAGAACATTGGCAGCGTACTTTGTACAACTATATAACTCTCCGTCTCAGCTTGACAGTAATGATTACACGTCTATAGACAAGTAATTCCTGCTTATAGTGCGCCGTAATAAATACACTATTGCCAAGACAGCGGGGAGAATCATCATCATCACGTATAAGAGATCTACAGCTACAGATTGTTACCTTATAGTGAAAAGGGCGACCATTAGGTGCCGCCGAAGGAGCGTAGGAAGTAGTCGTCAAATATAGCGCGCTATGGATACTCGCTGGTCTCGAAGAGTGGTGTCGTATTTACGGTTGGTATATATATATAGCTGGCCTCGTTAATGAATGTACCGCTTGCCCACCGCCACAACCTCGTTAGTGATATTCCTAGAAATTGTAATTATGCTGACCACCGTAACTTTATCTTTATACCTCATGTAGAGAGAAATAGTTATCTACCTCCTCAGTACCTAGGTGCCCAGGCCCTTATAGGTAGCTCAAAGCATATAGCTTGAGTTTGCAGCAGTCAATATTCACACGCATCTAGGTACCCAATGCGACACAACCCGTCAACGCCTAGGTCGCACCCACTACAGACAGCGTCGTGATCTCGACGCACTACATCGGCAGCAACATGTACTGGGTCCCTACCTCGACACGGGATGGTCTCCTGTAAAAGCAACCCTTGCCGACCCACCCCTCCATTGCGCCCACATTTCTTCCACACGACTTCATTGACGATCGTTTGGGCACGTAGTCGGGGTGTCGTATTGCGGCCGCGAGAGCTGAAGATAGGAGAGAACGTGGAACCTCTGTCGGCTCTGGTGCTGCGAGACGTGCTGACGCTACTCACCCACCTATGTCGTCCTTTTATAAAGACTCCACAGGTAAGTGAATTTACCCACACACTCGTCCTGAAAGCGTAGAGGAGAGCGGCACCAACGCCGTCAAGTCGTGCTAGGCTAGTTGCGGCGAACGAAGTCTGTCGAGCTTTACCCGCAGTTGCGCGGTCGGCGGTTCCGTCCGTGTGGGGCATCCAGCGAGGTGGTCGGCGTGAGCGACGGCCGAGACCTGTACGGCGCGCAGCCTCTTAACGTCGGAGACCTCGATGTGGATAAACTTGAGGTGGTGCCAATAGTCTTCCACGTGCGCAAAATCCGCAGGCAGATGGCAAAAGGGGCACTAGTGGGGGAAGCCGGGCCGCGGTACGATCTCCGTCTCTGCCGCTCGCACCTCTAGCCGTGGCATGCTATCCGGTGATGGTGGTTCCCTCTTAGATGTTGGTCGTGAAGCACCGACGGAGGGCAGCATCGCCGATACGGACAGACGGTCCTCACACGGTTCTGGATGGCATGGTTGGGCGACTTCGACGTGCATTCCCTCACCGCCACTGTCGCACTGGTGGCCTGATCCGGTTGCTGCGGCGTTCCAGCGGGTTAGGTGCCCCGAGCAGACTTTGGCGGACACCTCTCGGAGCAACTTCGTCCAGTCTCGACGTTCCTGCACATACCGGGAATCCCGGGCGACCGGGGCGCCCGCCCACTGGATCCATTTCAGGAGCCAGAAAGCTCTCGTGCACCGAGCCTCTGCGCTGTCCGTAGGTGCCTGCTCCTCTTCTATGTCAATCGCCGCGCGGATGATGAAGCGGATTTCATGGTCTGACCTCGTCTAACCTTTCTTGTCCACGTCGTCGCCCGTGAGAGCCGACTAGGCGGACGCTAGGGCACGCGCGGCGCGCCGAATCTGCCCGCGGTGATGTTCGCAGCCCAATAGGGGCCCGAACCGGTGGCTCATGGACTCCGCGACCCGTGCCGACGCCGAGTCCGAGGCTTCCAGCTCCCGGAACGCCACCGTAAACCAATTGTTGGCAAGCAGTAGATGCTTCAGCGCCTGATCGTTCTCCAGCCCCATCCTGGTGCACGCGATTTCGGTGGGCGAGGACAGGACGTCGTGTGGACTCAGGTCGAGGGTCGTGCGGCGAGGGGTAGGTCTAAGCGGAGCGAAAACGTAGTAGGGGTTGGTGCCTCCTAGATCCAGGTTGAGAAAAGGTTAATTGAAATAATTATAAGGCCGTTTGAGCTCGTGGTACGCCAACGTGCAGTCGTCTCGCTCCGCGACGATCCGCTTGTATTTGTCTTCGTATTCGCGAGCGGAGCGCCCACATGTCTGTCGTCATCGTCAGCGTCGGTCGCTCTCGCTCGCGTGCAAACTTACAAGCTGCGCCAGACGACGACATGCCTCACCTCTCGCCTCACCGCTGGCGACCGCGGCGTCCGCGAGGTGTATCAGCGTCATGATCTCGTCGCTCGTCCACCTCCCGGGGGGGTGGGTGGGCTCGGGATCGACAGGGTCGCACGGCACCGTGAGCTCACCGTCCTCGTCGAGGCGAAATGGCGTACCGTCGAGGTAGTCGACCTGGGAATGTGCTACGTTGCCGTCCATCCGCGGCGTGGGTGTGAAGGGTGCTGGGGTCACCCTTGAATCAATCGGGGATGATCCCACAGGGTCATTGTAGGACGGAGGTGTTGCAATAAATGGTCAGGGTGACGCGGGCCCGGCGCTGTTTGCGGCAAACACACGCGTACGCACCTCAGACCTTCACGATAAAGGACCACCACGGGGAAGGGAGGAAACACGGTCCAAGGGGGAAAACCGGATCGTCGTCAGACCTGCAGGGCTACAAGGCTCTAGATGTCGAGCACCGGTCATCCTGCACCGCTCTCACCACGTTCTCGAGACCCAGTTCGACTAGAAGGAAGTGGTAGTGATGGTCCCGCCAGATCTCGCGCAAGTTTTGCTCCTTGAGGACGGGTTTCTTGTAGATCGTCGGTAGGCGAGGCCGCACCCAGAGGTGATAAGGTACCGCGTTGGCCTGGTGGCGGGTTTCTCGTTCGTAGGTCGGGTAGAGAGCTATGAAACGCTCCATCTCCAGCTCTTTCATCTGATAGCCCCAGCGTAAGAGCGTATAGAGGACCGCGCAGAGGCCGACGAACAAGCCTTTTGTCATGTCTCTGGTCTCCTTCTTGAACCTTGTTTGGATACGCCGCAGCGCACGGTCGGCCGGCGTTTCCTCTTTAAGTAGGACAGGTTGGCTCGGCTGCGGCATTGTGTGTTGAGAGGACGTCGAGGTCGTGCAGAGGGCGATGGGCTGGAATAATTGAGATGGTGGAAGCGGGCACCAGAAGGAGGAGCGTGTCTGAAGCACGGGGGTCAACATTGTAAAGATCCGGGAGATGATGGTAAAGGTAGTCGTGCTGGGTGGTGTTGTCTTTGTGCTGGCGAGGCAATTAACAAACACCCGCAGTATAGTAAATAATATAAGGATATATATACTTATTATTAAATAGTCTAGTTATACTTCTTTATAATTAACGTATATTATCTACTTATACCTACCTTTAAGTATCTTATTATATATAGTCGTTTATTATACCTTACTTTATATTATACCCTCTACACCTTATTTCGAGTATTATAACTAAAGACCTAACCCTTACTAGTTAGTCGAAAGGAGTAGCGCTAATAATAAGCTAAATAATACTTACCTAGAACTACTATACTAACCTTCCTAATAACTAGTATTAAGATATTTACTAGTCTAGCTTAGTAGGCTTATAGCTTAATATAACTTTTTATTAGTAAATAGGAACTCTAAAATCTTAACTTGTTATTAGTGAAGAGAGCCCTATAAATCTTAACTTTAAATTAATGAATTTCTAGCTTATAAACTTTATAACACTAAGGTCAGCCATATCTCAAAACTTTGCCTATACAACCTAATGACCACAAGATAAGGTCCTAAATTACAACACAGACTCTACAGAAGTGTCAGGGCTTCGTGGTCTAGTGGTATGATTGTCGCTTCGGGCGCTGCGGCCTCTGGTTGAAAAAGCCATGAATTGTGACAGGCCTCGGGTTCGAATCCCGACGAAGCCCGTTTTTATATGTATTTTTGAGACGATTGATGTTTGAGGATAATGTGCTCCATTGTACACTTTTTGCGCGCCTAATGGCCTGTGTTAGGAAACATTCGAGTCGTGTGTTTCGTACTCGTGAGGCGAGCTTGTCAGAGAGTCGGTCGGTACCCGTCCGAGAGAGGCCCAAACCGGATTGAGGTGGGTGAGGCGACACCCAAACGTCGCTCAACCTCTTTTCTCATCAGCCTTACTCATACCTACCTACGTGCGTGGAATGAATGGCGTTGCCTAATTTCCCCAGACAATAATGTTATATTGGGAGTCCTTCTGTTGTCAATCCCTTGGCCATGATGTTGAGAGAAACTCTGCCAAATCAGTGTGATGTGGCTGTACTCGAGCACATCCAAACGCTCTCTCAACTCCAAACCCTCCTCACCCCGTCCTCGTTCTAAGACCTCCTCCTCGACTCCCGATCTACGTCCAACGTCGCCGAGCTCGGCCCTCGCTGAAGTTCTTCGAAAGAATCCATTCCGAGCAGGCTCAAGAGAGTGTCTCACAATCCAGAAGGAAGATGAAGATCCCTCGGTCGCCTTGAACAAGGACCTCCGGGTCCTTGCCGATTTCTTTCCAGATGTCCAGGTCGAAGTCCTCCGCGAACTCCTTCTCCGGTTCGATGGCGATAGCAGACTGCCAATATGCATAGAACAACTCTACAAGTACAAGGCCGGATGGGCTAAGGGCCGCATGAACGTGCCACCGCGGGGTCCGGATGAACCGATCGCACCAGAAGAACAGTTCAGGACGAAAGACTATATCGATGCCGTGAAATGGATCGCGGGCCTCGAGTTCGGCGCTTTGAGCAGGAGTGCTGTGGACGCCGTGCTTGCCGAGGTCAATTTTTCATATGCCAACGCGCGGCCGACGCTACAGGGCCTTGCTGGTAAATCGTGGAAATTCGCCCTCGCAAACCTCCTCAAGAAGAAACGGTCGCCAAGCGAGGTTCCGGCGGCGTTGTTGGACAGATCGAAGGCGGGCCCCGGATGGCCAAGATTGATCACCACAGGCAATGATGAGCTCGACCAGGAGCTCTCACAACTCTTCAGTCTTCCGGCTCAATCCTCTCGGAAACCTGTTAGGGACCAGAAGCCGTCAGATTTCGAAGTGGCCCAAGCGCTCAACCTAAAGGAGGCAGAGGAAGCAGGTGCCCTCTTCGAATGCCAAGTCTGCTACAACGATATCACCTTCGAGGATGCCTCAGTCTGTACTCGATCTAATCATGTCATCTGCCTGGACTGCGTCCGACGAACACTAAATGAGGCTCTATTCGGACAAGGCTGGGCAAAGTCGATTGATGTCGAGCACGGAACGCTAAAGTGCCTTGCGGACGATGATTGTGACGGCCACATCCCGCACCATCTAGTCCAACGCTCTCTCAACCTCCGCGACCCGAAGGCCAGCGGCGAGACCTGGAACCGCTTTGAGGAGAGACTTGCCGAACATAATCTGCAGCGGTCCGCTCTTTCCCTGGTCCGGTGCCCATTTTGCCCCTACGCCGAAGCCGAGCAGACGTACGACACCGACGCCGCAGCAGCTATACAGTGGCGTATACGAAAACCCGTCACGGGAATCCACACCGTCATCGTCATCCTACTTCTCGAGCTACTCCCTGCGACCATACTCTTCCTCCTGCCTTTCTTCCTCCTCTTTCCCACATATTTCACCACTTTGTTCTATACATCGCTCGCCAATCTCGCGCTCAAAGCCCGCACAACCCGTTTCGTCTGCCAAAACCCGTCCTGTTTACGAAAATCGTGCCTCAAATGCCAAAAAGCATGGCATGACCCACACATCTGCCACGAACCATTAATTGTCTCGCTGCGCACAACCGTCGAAGCAGCTCGCACTGCTGCGATCAAACGTATCTGCCCTCGCTGTGGCACAGCTTTCGTGAAATCGAGCGGCTGCAATAAATTAACTTGCGTTTGCGGCTATTCCATGTGTTATCTGTGCCGGAAGAATATCGGGAAAGCGGGTAATAACACCGAAGGTGGCGAAGGCTACAGACACTTTTGCGAACATTTCCGGCCTATGCCTGGTCAGCGGTGCACAGAATGTGATAAGTGCGATCTTTACAGGGCAGAAGATGAAGACATGATGGTCAAGAAGGCCGGTGAGGAGGCTGAGCGGCTGTGGAGGGAGAAAGAAGGCATGGTCGGTGTCAAGGGGCTGGAGGATGCTGTTGGCAACGTAGCAGGGGAGGATACCTGGTGGAAGAAGCTTCAGGAGGGTCGGTGGACGGTTCAGGGCGTAGTCGATTGGGCTGTTGAGAACAGCGTTGTCGTTGACGTGGAGAGATGATGGGCTCATAAGTTCCAAGGCGACCACCTATGAAGCAAGCCAGCTGCTTCTGCTGGTTAGGCCGGCGTTGCGGGCGTTATCTTGGTTGCTACCGCCACGATACCCTTGATGATTCGCAGCTTGAGTAGAACTTGCCCCGAATGAAGGCGCCTACTGGGCGTAGTACGTCATGCGCACTTCTTTAAAGGTCGGACTTGGGTGAGTCGACTTCGCTCCTCCATGGTCAAGCACTGGCGACACTGGCTACACTGGCAACACTTACCTCATCTACATTCCGTGCAGTACATTCCACACCGCATCTACTCTGAAGAACAAAGTCCCGCTCGTCATGCGACTACCCACTCCCTGACGGCTCGACTATCTCCATCTTTCTCCATCTTTCAGTTCGACCTCCCTTTTCTACATCAAGTTGTAGCCCGAAAGTGTTCGTAATCATGGCTGGCGTCACTCCCAGCGCATACCTTGATCTGCTCAAGTCAGGGGACTACTCGGATTTCACCATCAGCTGCCAGGGAGTAGACTTCAAAGTCCATCGGGCGGTTGTTTGTTCTGGGTCAACGATGCTCCGAGCTGCCTGCAACGGCGGATTCGAGGCGGGTGGTAGCACAGAAACATGAAGGTCAAGCTGATCTGTGCGTTAGGAAACCGCTTCACGAAAGATCGACCTCTCAGAAGATGACCCTAAGACCGTCAGCCGGGTCGTCTTGTTCATGTACACAAGTGACTATGATGAAAGAGAAATCCCACCCTTCCTGCTTCCTAGCCAGGTCGAAAAGCTGTCAACCACAACCCAGGGCGGAGCGGACGAATCCCCGGACGCTTCAAGCAGCAAGCCTGACGGTCCGACAGTCTTCGAAAGACTGAAGACAAATGCTTTTGTCTACAAATGCGCCGACATGCTCGGGATCGAAAATCTAAAGGTGCTGGCTGCAGACCGATTCATGGCAGACGCTCGTACAGTCCTCTCAGAGGAAGGATTTGCGGTAAGTGTGCTGTCTTTGTAGACTATCTCATGGCCATTACGAAAAAAATGACTCGGTCGGCATCTACCACCGCTTCCTCCTCGAGGAAACGCGCTCTTCTAGCCTCCTCCCGACAACTTTGTCCTCCAAGTGACCCCGAAGGCTTAGCTAAGTGGAACATACCACATTCCTGTAGCCATCTTGGCCTGTCATCGTTCGCTGAGCTCTTGCGCTAATTGTGAAACCCGCGACAATGGCAGGAGCCGCTTCGGATCATGTATGAATCTACCCACACAGACGATCAGTACCTGCGCATCCCGGTCACAACACTTTGCGTCAAGAACCATGACCTGCTCTCTGCCAAGAGTGAGACCATCAAGGTGCTTGAAGACCATGAGCGTAGCGTCTGGAAAGTCTACATGCCCTTGCTTCTCGACGACTTTGGCGGGAAACTCGAGGACCGCCTCAGAAAGGAGACGATAAGGCGAGTCAACAATGAACTCCAATGGAATTGCTCTTGCGATCACAGGCCGACCAGGGTTGGAATCACGTCTGATAAGTCAATATGTGGTTATTGCCCTTGGACACAGTGTGGTGGAACCAAGGCCAACATCAACAGAGTGTCTTCTGAACCTGGACGTTAGCAACCTTCAGGAGGCTGACGAACAACAATGGTCACCGGCGGCAATGTCTTCTACAATGCTACTTAGTGCATTATCTACGGCTAAGTTTGCTCCATCCGACCCTGAACGGATGGCGATTTGGTAAGTTGCGTCGGAGATTCTGCAACACAGAATTGCGAGTTGTGTTTCTCAACAAACGAGCAGATTAACACCGCCACGAAGGCTGTAGACAAGAGTTTCTTCAAGAAGTTAGGCGAAGGCATCCATGGAACTATTACGCGAGGCTATCTTTCACGGACGTGTTGGGGCGCATGTCTTCCTGACAAGCACATGATCAGTCTGGCTTCATGAGAGCCTCCTGGTACTCCGCGCCGCGGCACTTATTCGTGTATCGCCTCTGACGTCGTGATGGAGATGGGTGCATGGAGCAGGTCATTAAATGGTACGAGAACGAAGTGTGTTGAATCCTCCTGCCCTTCGTGACGATGGTTAGGGGTGAGGTACTGACATCCGAGCAGCCTCATTCAGGCGTTCACTCACTGCCGCCCCTTCAGTAGCACCTTAGTCCTTTCATATCTTGGCAGCTCCTCTCCCACCTGCTCTACCATTGTCCCCATATGTCAACTTTTCAAGGGCATCTGCCGACCTGGCTGAAGTGACCGCAAGTGCATACCTCAACTGTCTGAGAGATGGTACCTTCTCCGACTTCAAGATTATCTGCAAGGATGTCGAGTTCAACGTTCACGGCCTGGTCATTTCCCATGCGTCGCCAATGTTACCATGCTGCGTGCAATAGAGCCTTTCGAGGTAAAGTTGATGTCAGGAAGCACAACTTTACGCAGAAATGGCGCTGAGTCCCCCGCAGGAAGCAAACATCCGGCAAAATCGAATTCCCAGAAGATGACCCAGCGATCCTGGCTCGGTGTCATCCTGTTCATGTACACAAGCAACCAAGACATGGACGAAGCTCCGGCCAAACCACCCGGCCAAGGAACCAGGCGAGAAAGTCTCCCTAGACTGCAGTACCGATAGGTAGCGACCCCTTCGAACGATTCAAGACGAACGCATGAGTGTACAAAGTGTGCGGATATGCTCGGGATTGAGCACTTAAAAAGGAATCAGCTGCGGAGAGATTTATCGCTGGCGCTGCTGTACACTTGGTTGATGATTATCCGACCTGGATGAAACGAATTTCGCCGGAAGCTCGAGCCCTCATGTACGAGTCCACCAACGCCAACGATTTTACTCTACGATTGCTGGCGACCAAGGTCTTGGTCAGACACCACAAGAAAATCCAAGACTGGCCCGAGACGTTGGCTGTCATCGAGCAGCATGAGAGGCAGCCCGAGGCAAACTATTGCAAAGATAGCCAAGTTGGATGGACTGTTTTATCGAAGCCCGAGCGAGTCGCTGCCATACCGAGTCGAGGACAAACGAGGACCTCGAGCCGAACAATGCGTAGACAGCCGAGTTGGACGGTGTATTTGGGTCGAAGACATGACTGCCCTTCTAAAAGCCATTGCCTTCTGTGAACAGCGCTTGCTCCACGTGTGTTTAACTTTTCATGATTTCGCCCCTATGGGCACTGACGGGACCCTAGATGATGGAGAGGAGGGCCCGTGATGATCCAAGAACATACCGCGAATCCATCCTTTCTTCGTAGTGCCAGCCTATTTCTTCGGGAGGGACATTGATGATTCGCCAAGCAGCAACTTGAACCAGGGAAAACATCATTAGCAGTAGCCTCGCCCTTTCCGAGGCCGACAGTCAGGGTAAGTGTGTCTGAAATTGGTTCGGGAGCCAGTGCCGATCCTCCCATTCCAACCGCGAGGAGCCATATTGTCATGCATTTAACTCCTCGTGTGGATCAATGGGATCAGTCTGGACTTGGGTACGCACGCCTTGATATCTAGCCCAAGAAGATCATCTTGATCGCCGCATACGGAGTACTTGCATGGTTTTGAACCCAGTGCGTCAACTCCGCTCAAGTGTACCGAGCTCTCGGGTGGCGCCAAAAACACTGACTCTTCCCATCTCCCTTTCGGCGGACTCTCGGAACCATCTGCTTCAGGCAAAAGCCGTTCCTGCATGTCGGGAGGCCGGTCCGGTGGCTGACAGTTTACGAGTCGCCCGTCCGATTCCTGAATACTTAGCGCTTGTGTAGAGGCAGGGCATCGACGTTGAGAGGCATTCACAGCTTATGAGAATGGAAATGGATTCTCCCCCTATCTCGGGTTCCTGGTCCGGGCCACACCTGTGGTATCTTTATGGTGGCGCAGGCAAGCCCGAAGCAGGAAGGCCAGGCGTTATCGTTGTGGTTGTTCGTGGACATGAAGAGCAGGGGTCCGTGTCTTCTTTGAAGTTGCCCTCTCTCCCAGATCCTGGACCGTCACGGCTTCCTTCGTATCGTTGTACGCTTGAAATCGAAGAGGACTTGGGTCGCAGATCTTGAAGTCTCAAGACCTCGAATTGTGTAGGAGTATGCTGGAACAACGGAAGCGAGAGAGCAAGACAACTCGACCAACCTTCTCGCTTGGTTCCTGGGATTTGTCTGTATAATCTGATGTATGCCGGTTTCTAGTAAGGCCAGGTGTGACGTCGTCGTCGTAGCTGTGGCGTTTTGTCGCTGAATGCTAACTTGAGCAAGCAGAGCCGCCGACGACACTATGAAGCAAACAAATGTAATTACTTCATGGTATAGAGATGTTGACTTGGCAATTATGCGCCGAATCACAAGGGAGGGACATCTGCTGCGAGTCCATCATCTTCTGCCTCGGACGGTGGTGTGAGCATTGATGTATCGGGCGCAGGCTTGGCTTCCGCTCCCCTCGCAACAGAACCCGTTTTCTTCAGGTTGACAAAGCCGGGATCAGGCGAAGCCCAGGCATAATCGACCCATTGATCACCAATGACCTTCCGTATACCTTTGGCAAGTTCGCGAATGGTCTGCCGACGTGCGAGGGACCATTCATGGTCGCTGACGGCCTCGGAGGGAGTGATTGTGCCTGGCTCGACATCTAGGTCATCGGCCAGTCCGTCGAGAACGCTTCTCCAGACTCGCAAGGTCTCGTCGAGCTCTTCCATTCTGCTCACACCCATTACACTGACGCCGAGCTTTTCTCGGGGGAGGTTGAGGGCGTGGCCATATGTGTCAGCCTCATTCAGAGGGCTGCCCAGGGTTCCCACCTTGGCAGCTTCACGGAGCCAATTTTCCAGAGCGAATCGCACGGCGACCACCTCGAGCTTTTCGCCCTTCGCCTCGGCCCATCGTGCAGCATTGATGCACGCCTGTCGCAGGCCGTCTGGCGCAGGGTGCCAGTTGCCCATGGCACCCAGGGGAGGACCGGTAGACCTCAGTAGACCCATGCCCAGAGGACTGGCGTTTGTGACGACGTCGACCCCTGCGGTGACGAGTCGCTGCAGACCCTCAGAGAGCAGTCGGGTATTCTGAAGGGTGAAGTTCGCATACGACTGGACGATATCGAGTGGTTCTCCTGTCTCTCGCAGGATCATCTCGGCCAGCTCGCACAGCACGGGCACGGGGTAACCCGAGATGCCAACATATTTGAGGGTCCCTTCTTCGTCTCGTATGCGACGAAGCTCGCGGATCGCGCCCAAGACTTCCTCGGGTGAGACGAACTCGCAATCATGACAGTAGACCACGTCAAGATAATCGGTCCTGAGACGCTTGCAACTCCGTTGCACGCTCTGCCGGATCCATGTGGGAGAGTAGTCGAAGATGTCGGCGGATATCCGCCCAACCTTTGTCAGGATGAAGTAGTGCTCTCGGGGATAATGACTGCGAACGAGGTCGGTGCCAAGGGCCGTCCCAAGGATCTCTTCGGCAGGCCCATAGTATGGCGATGTGTCAAAAGCATGGACTCCATGGGCGAGGGCCTTCTGAACAAGTGCCGTCGGGCCAAGTGCGTATGGGTCTACATTGTACTGAAGACCAGGGTCAACACAGGAGTCAACGAGGGAGAAGAGGCGGACCGTACCTGATAGTTGAAAGTGGCAGTCCCGAAAACCAGAGGGGGGAGGGAGTCAGAGAGTGGCGACCTTGACGTGGACATGGCTTATCAGTTCCGAGGCAAGCAAATGCTCTGGGTGCTTTCGAGGGAAGGAGTCGAGGAGCGGCGCGTGGTGAAGTATTAATTACCTTGCGTATGGGCGGTCAAGAGAGATGGAGCCATGGTCCTGGGTGGTGACGGGAACTCTCTCGATTGACAGACCCGACCGCGACACGTCTGGTTGTTGGATGCCGACACTCTGTGGGAGATGGCGAATTTTCGGTGGGGCTGGCCAAGCACGTAATGGGCTGGTTTCCGCCTGATGTCAAGGCTAGAAAGGGAGCTAGGGAGAACAAGGAGAAGAATGCCGTGGTCCGTGGCCTAGATCTTGTGTGCTGAGCCTGCGTTGCTGGTGAGCATCGAAGATACCTGGGCCGAT